GCCCTGCCGCAATCGAGGGACGCGAAGCTGTGCCCTTGGATCCATACTGCATGTTGATGCCGAAAAAAAGCCTCGACTCTTTATCATATGCATTTTGCTGATGTAACGTCTTCAAGTATAAGTGGGCGAGAAGGGCATTGATTCTCAACTTGGATCTTGAAACGCAGAGAGAGAGAGAGAGAGAGAGAGAGAGAGAGAGAGAGAGCGGTCGTATAATCTTCATGCAAACTCGTGACATGAGCATTTATGTTCTGTTGTTGCATGCTTTTACCCCACTTGCAGGCAACTATGCAAAAACGCTGTGTGTCTCTGAGACACTAGTGAAACAAGATAGCGGGGTGAGTGCATTGGCGCTTTTCGGGTTTAGGGGTGGGGATGATACATGTGGGCGTTCCTGCCACAACCGCAGGATGTGTACCTCCAAGCAAACATATGCATGCAGCGGCGAAAACTTTGCCAAGACTGACTTCGACTCGACCTGTTTTCTGCCCAAGAAGGACTCCTTGCACCAGTGCTTCTCCAATAGCCCCTCCGTCCGTAGCTGCCCTCAAAATGCCCAGCTACAAGCTTACCTACTTCGACATCCGCGGCCTTGCCGAGAACGCACGCATCTTCTTCGCCGTGGCAAAGCAGCCTTACGAGGATGTGCGTCTCTCCTTGACATTCGGCACGCCCGGAGACTTCAGCACCATTAAGCGGCCAGAGTTCGATGAGATGAAGGCCAAGGGTGAGCTCGACATCTCGCTTGGCAAAGTGCCGATGCTGGAAGTGGATGGTGAGGACCCCAGTAACGTCAACTTGAGTTACTTCTGCATTGCGTGCAGCTGAGTAAAATACAGCGTGACCCTGCAAAACGCTCTGCGAGCCTTCAATCCTCCTGAAGATCGAATGCGTCTGAGGCGCGAAGATCGGCCAGTCCAAGGCCATCGAGCGCTTCCTGGCCAAGGAGCTTGGCTTGGCCGGCTCCAGCCCCGTCGAGGCTGCGCAGGCAGCGCCAGTCCTATCCGCGTCAACAGGGGAAGCAAAAGCTAATTGGAGCAGGCAGCGATGGTAATCGCCGTCGTAGTCGATTCAGCGAAGTGTTTGCTGCTACTACCTTTCCTACTTCAGCTGCTGCAGCTGCTGCTACGGCAAGACAGCGACGAGGATGGTGCCGAGGAGGAGGAGGACGAGTAAAGTCAATACTGACCACTGCTGCCTCTACGACTTTAGCTCATGCTGCCGGTTCTAGCGCGGGTGTATTGATTGTGTTGCTGTTGTCATGTCGTGCCTTTGTTTGTCCCGGTACTTACCATGTAGTGCTCTTGCTAGTATCCTCACCGGGGCTGGGAGCTCTTCTGTCCGGCTCGGTGTGATGGACGAATAGGTCGATCAGCTTGGTGAGACCGTCCGTGACATCAAGGATGCCTACCAGAAGGTCGCCTGCAGACACTCTGATTGCTGTTACCAGAGTGTCAGCAAGCTCTCCTTAAACCGGTATTTCCTAGGTTCGCGGACTCCAAGACGAGGAGGCTAAGAAGAAGGCACGGCCAGCATGGCTTGCATTGGCTTGCGTCGTGAGGTTGGATGGCCCGAGCAAGTAAGCATTCTCTTTTTGGTGTGCCATCCTTGGGTACTTGTCCTTTGCCAGGGCATGGAGAAATGGTTCGCCGAAGATCTTCCCAATTGGGTGAAGCTAGCCGAGAAGTCGCTCCCTGCCGGTGCCGGGCCGTACCTTGGCGTGCGAGTATACAAAGTTGTAGTATCTTTACAGTGTATTGTGATATATTATACTACTGAGAGGAATTTCGAGAATTTTTACAGTGCATTATGATATATGGTATTGCGGAGAGCAATACTTTAAGGGCAACAGCAAGAGTCATAATGGCAAGAAGAACTCTGATAACTAGGAGTGACGTGGGGCCCTTAAGTCCTTCATGCACTTGCGTGACTCCAAAGCCTGAAACCCGAGCAACACGCAGGTGGTTGTCAAAATGATGGTCCCTTGTTGGGTTCCTAATATAATACGGCACCTAAGATTTAGGGTACCCAAAAAGAGACCCTAATTTTGACAACTACCCACAAGGTTCATGGTTGGGGGCAAAGTCTCTGCTGCGGACCTGCTCTTCTACACCCTCCTCCTGGCACCGGGAGGCAGCTTGGAATGGGAAGTATGGCTTTGGAATATGGGAGTTTCCGAAAATAGGGGACCCTAATATAGCAAATAAGGGACCCTACTTTTCGGAAACTCCCATGTCATGATACTTGTTTGAAAAGGGTGGTACCTGACAGTATGTAATGATGCTGGTTGTTCTGAGTATCAGGTCTTTGATATTGTTGTTGGTCAGTAGTCTGTGCTGCAATACCATTATGCCTATCCTGATAACGAGTATCTTCACCAACAGCTCTATGGTACTACGAGTATCGACCGTTGCGATTGCCACCATTTGCCGTGTTTTTCTTTCTGTCAGTCTTGGTATTGGGATGGTGAACAGTATTCTGAAACTTATCAGTTTTGGAATCATTGCATACACAATGGCGCTGAATACATTGAGACGCACCCTGCCTACCCTCCCTCTGCACGCCAAAATACTAGGTCCGACTGCAGAATATTCTCTAATTGTATTACATTATTATAAAATGCTACAGCCACTCAGTAAATCAATATTGTATATGACCCTTTATGTAATTGTAGCATTATATCATGCTACAGTATATCATTGTGTCTTATTCTACAATATTCTAGTAAAATATAATGCCACAGTGTTGCATTATGTTTTTCACACTATATTCTATAGTAGTATAGGTCGACATAAAGCGAGCCGCCAGTCCCCGAAACGCGTGGAAGCCGCCCGACTTGACGCGCTGCCTACTAGCTTCAAACCCGACCTTCACACCTCGGGTTTAGGGAATTAGGGGTTGAGGGGTTTAGGGTTTAGGGGTTTAGAGGTTTAGGGTCTAGGGTTTAGGGGTTTCATGGTTTAGGTTTTTATGACTCGGAACCAGAAAGGGAACATCAAAGAATGAGCTCCAGCCCAAAACCCCCCTTAAACCCGAAATGCCTATCTCCATACTACCCGAAGCCCCAAACCGTATGCACCAATTTTGGGAAAGATCCCTAAACCCTGAACCGTATGCACAAGCCTTGGGAAAAGATCCCTAAACCCTAAACCGTATGCACAAACCTTGGGAACAATCAATGAATCCTAAACTGTATGCGCAAATTTGAGGAAAACTCCCTAAACCCTGAACCGTATGCGCAAACCTTGGGGAAAATCCCTAAGCCCTAAACCGTCGCTGCCCAAACAGAGCCCGAGGATTCTTTGACAACACGGAGGGAGCCAAGGCTTCCTTCCAGGACTCCGGAGTTTGGGGGCTTTGGGTTTTGGGGTCTTGGGCTATGTATTATGTAATGGGTAGTATTTCATAGCTTTATACTATATAATGGGTATATGCTTTGGGGTTTGGGGGTTTAGAGGGCTTAGAGTTTGGGGCCTTGGGTTTGGGGGTCTTGGGCTCTAAAACGGGTATATACTAGCTATAAAAAGGTTATATACCCATATAGGGGGCCTCATTACAGCAAGGGTACCTGGGGCTTAGGGTTTCGGGTTTTGGGGTTTAGAGGGCTTGGAGTTTGGGGCTTAGGATTTAGAGTTTTAGGCTGAGGCCGAGGGAGTTTGGGATGGCTTGGGGGTTCATGTGGGATCAGGGCTTATGTAGAAGGCACAGCTTAGGATTTTTGTAGGATGCAGCGTAGGGTTAGGGTGGGGATTATGTAGGGTTTATGTAGGATGTGCGGCTTGACAGATGTAGGGTTTAGGATTTGTGCAGGATGTGGGGTTTCGGGTTCATGTTAAATAAATAAATAATGGATAAATAAATAAATAAATAAACATAAATATATAAATAAATATGTAGAAGTATATCTATCTATCTATCTATCTATCTATATATATATATATATATGGGTTAGGTTTCTTAAGGATATATGGTGCAGGTTCAGGGTTTGTATCAGATGTAGGGTCTCTATGCGGCAATTCAGAACGTAGACTTTATGGAGGTGTCAGAATGCAGGCTCAAGAGTTTGTCGGAGAACAAAAGGGTTTGCGTTGGGTGCTGCCCCCACTCTGTAACAGTTAGATAATACTTGCAAGACACTTATTTGCAGGGAGCGGCACTACCCAAGGTTTACCTAGGACCTAGGTTTAGGGTTCATTGAAGATTAGGTCAGGTCTTGCTTATGATGCAGAGTTTGGGATCGGAATGGGTTCAGGGGTTGTGGTTTCAGGATTTGGGGTGTATGGTCTGTGGTTTGCGGGGTTTAGGGTTTGCTGCCGATTTAGGCTTGGCAAGAGCCAGAAGAATCATGATAGCAACACCAAGAATGCTAGCTCTGCCAACACGACTATGCGGTGCAGAGGCAAGGGACGTTGCAGCCAGTCTTCTGTGCAGGACTGCCCGAAGATCAAAGCCGCACTGGAAGCTGTCGATGCTCTTCCTCAGCTGCAGGAGACACTTGGAAGCAGTCATTCATTAAAAGACCTGATGGCAGAGGCAGTACGTCGGAGTCAACAGCACGTGCCCACTGATGCGGCCGACTGAACATGTCACAATGATTGCCCAGGTACCTGAAGACTCGCAAAGAGAGCCCGTTCTAAGACACGACTCTGAAAGTCTCGTGTAGGCTCTTGATGACAAGGGCGTTGGCTCTTGATGACAAGGGGAATGAACGAGCGGCAGAGGCCCTTAGCCCCTGCACCTTCGACCCTTGCTTCTTGATTGACAGACTATCAGCTACTACAGAGATGGAGCTGAAGAAAAAGCGAGGTGAAGAGCAGTAGCAAGTGCCTGTGCAACTAGGGATCCGAATCGCATTGCTGAATGGTGGACGTGCTCAAAGCTTTGGTTGATCCTCCCCTTGCAGATCCCATGTCGCAGCAGCAGGGAGTCATGATTCCGCAGGTTGATTCAGGTAGATTCCTCAAGTTTGAAGTCAAGTTTGAAGTGCGGCTAGACGAGCCATGGCCACACCGCGGCTTTGTACTGAAAACAGTGAGCTGTCGGCCTACTTTTCCGGCCAGTACCTCAAGGGTGAGCTCTACGAAGGAAGCTCGGCTGGACATGGTAGGTGATTTCTCCCCTCCAGTCGTGACGCCTGACCAGGTAGGCACTACAAGGAGGATGCAGTGAACGGCATACCGACATTCCGATACGACGGACCAGACGGCACCATACAAACTTGGCAGCATGCCTTCAATTTGCAAGATCTCGCGTCTGCGGCTGATGGCGTTATCATTCTGTACCATTACACCAACGAGCTTGGCTTCCAAAACGTGGGAAACATGAGGTTGGGCACAGGGCATGTTGGGCCCAACTAGGTCTTGTAGAGCACAGTAGTTCTCCGTCCTACTCCATGTAGCCCCGGTGTGCCTCAAATTCAATGGCACGAGATTTCTGAGTGAACCTGGTTGTCCTCAGGCAGTCTGCAGCGGAGCTGTTTGCTTCGCTTGTTGCTGAGCGTGCCCACTTCGGCAAGGCTCTGGCAAGCTGCAAATCTCATTGTTTCGTCCCCGCGTCTCGAGAAGTGTATAGCGGCCCTGTGCCCAGGGAGTCTACACCACGCAGTATGAGCCTACAGTGTGGCGGGAGAGGATACGCGCCCTGCTCAACAACTACAGCAATCTGGACCCACTGCGCGTGGATCCCTTCGATGAGGACGGCGAGAAGAGGAACCAAGAGTGGGGCCAGGGCAATGCGCAGGGCCACCGGGCCGGTTTCTGCGTGCCGCTGATTGTCCCAAAGAAGCTTGCCCACAATATCTTCGAGAGGCACACGCCTGACATGGCCCAGATTCGCATTGAGGGACGGCCTCTGAATCTGGGCGAGGATATCAAGGGTCGGAAGGTACATGGAAACAGGGATGTCTGGGTGGTTCAAATCACAGACCACGGGGGCTCAGTGCAGCATGCTCAGATGAAGTCTGATGCCCTTTCAGATGTCTTAGAGAAGCGCCTGCAGCTACTTTGGAAACGCGGTCCGCAAAGCGAGAAGACTCTGCAGTGCATGGGCGAGTTAGCTTCCAGGTACCAGGGACGCGGTAAATATGCGGAGGCGGAGCCCCTCCTCACCCAGCTCTACGCGACGCGTCGCGAAGGCCAAGCTGGCAAGGAGGGCGAAAGCCACGTGAGCCTGGCCTCCTTGGCCGGGCTCATGCACCAGCAAGGCAAGACTTATGATGCAGAGCCCCTTTTCCGGAAGGCTCTGAAGGGTCTCCGAAGCGAGCTTGGAGACGAGCATCCCGACACCCTCTGTTGCAAGAGGGCCTTCGCTACGCTGCTCGAGGACATGGGCAAGCATGATGAGGCGGCTTTGCTCACTGGCAAGAAGAAGCCACCCATCGCGGCGCCAAAGGGCGACGATCTGCGTACGCGGGAGCAGAGTGCACGTGCTAAGCTGAAGGCGGCCGTGGCAGAGCATGGCCCAGAACACGACGCAACCCGGCAGGGCATGCGAGACCTGGCGGCAGTGTTGAAAGAGAAGGGCGATTTCCATGAGGCCGACATGCTCTATCACATGAGTGGAGGTCCACCTGCAGAAGGGCAGCCCGGGAATTCCCAGGGGTCCCCCCGTGTTTTACGCCGGAAGCTTCAGCAATCGCTTGAGAAGTTGGGAGCGACGCATCCGGACAGCTTGGGTGCCATGCACTCGTTGGCTTGTGCCTTGCATCAGCAGGGCGAGCTGAATGAGGCACAGAAGCTCTGCAGCCAGGCACTGAAGGGGCGACGTGAGAAGATGGGGCGAGGTCACCCAGATACACTGGAAAGTATGCATGAGATGGGAGTCCTTTTGAAGGAAGCCGGGCGGATTCAGGAGGCCGAGCAGCTCTTCCGCGAAGGCCTCGAGAGCAGTCGCCAGACCTTGGGAGGCGTCCACCAGCGAACCGTCGATTTCAACAACAGCCTGGCTCGCATGCTCGAGGAGAACGGCCGAGCGGGTGATGTGCCCGCCCCAGCCTCCTTCAAAGAATGGCTGGCAGGGCACTGGACCCCTCAAGCCGGCCAGCCACACTTGGGAATCCCTGGAAACGGATCGCGTCAACCGAACTTGGCGAAAGACATGGGGGAAGGAGACCCAAGCCGCAGCCGGCAAGAGGACTTGGATGCAGAAATCGAGCGGCTCATGCTTGCAGACGACTCGGACGAGGAGATTGAGAAAGCATTGCGGTCCCAGGCCCCGCCGCATCGTTTTCCTTGCGTGACCTGATGTTTCGGGCCAGTCAATTGATCTTCGATTTCTCCTGTAGGACTACATTCCGAGCATAATCTCATCAACAAGAGTCTTCAGAACTTCTTCAGCCTCAATCACAGAAGGGTTGACGTCGCTTGGAAGGGGCCCTCTTGATCTCTCCTGCCCATGCATCCGGGCCAGGTGGCTGGTGGCGGTGCAGCTGCGGCGCGTGTGTTGCGGGAAGGCTGACTGAAATTGTTTGAGTAATCCGTGCCGAGCACCCGTGTGTGAGAGTGTGACATACGCAATAAGTTGCAGGATGCAGCAAGCATATCTGCCCAATGCAGACTAGTGTATGATGTAAAGAATGAACGCTTACTTGCATGCTTGCGTGCTCGGTTGCTTTACGTGTCTACTTACTTACTTGCCGGCTTGCTTGCTTGCTTGCTTGCTTTATTTGTGTTTGTTTGCCTGTCTGCCTGTATGTATGCATGCATGCCTGCGTGCATGCATCCATCTATCTGTCTATCTATCTATCTATCTAGCTATCTATCTATCCATTGATCTCTTTAGAAACATACGTATGACATGATCGATATGTATGTGTATGTATTTGCGTATTTATGTGTATAACATATGGGTGTGTGTATATGCATATACACGGATACACAGATAGGCAGAGAGATGTGCAGAGTTATGCCTGAAGAAATTGGGCAGGCATGGCCGGGATGTTCATGGATGAGAACATGGGCCGCGCTCTCCTACAAGGCATTGACGACGACTTCTTATCGCAGGCTGTATTCGCTTCGCAGGCTCGTTTCCGAAACTATAGATTTCATGCAAATTGAGACCGAGCATGTTCTCTTAGCAGCTGCTCCGTAGGACCTCGGCAATTCAAAAGATCTTTTCTCAACCCTAAGTGCCTAAATTGGCGGCCGCCCCTGTGTAGGGCCCCATGGGTGGTGAAGTCACTGCAGCACAGCTGATGCGGGAAGGCATGCTGCGAAGCAGATAGCCTACTCAAACACCACACCTCTGTCTACACCTTGAGCCCGCCGTGCGGCCTCAGGTGTTGTTTGTTCAGCCTTCCCAAAGGGAGATTTTTGTCAGAGGAGGAGCACCAGCTTCTGCTCTCATCCTTGTCGTCTTGGCAGATGTCCAGAAGATCTCTGAAGCCATGGTTTGTTGCTCGAGGAGGGTGTAATGTTTGTGGGCGCACGCCCATACGTTGTATGATCAAGTTGCCCTTGCTGCAACTGTTTCTTTCGACGCATAAGACCCTGCTGTGTGTGCACGTGGTCCCGCGACCTTTGTCGCTTCGAGTCTCCCAACATATCTCTTTCAGAGGGCACCAGAGCGTCTGATGGCCATTTTATGCCAGGGAACTTGTGGTGGTCAGGGCTGCTCTAACAAGCCCTTGGCCACCGCATGCCATTGGTCAGAGGTTGACCGAAGTTCGTGGACTGAATAGAAGGAGGGAAACATGGTGCTCGGTGCTTTCCGCTGCAAGAGTGTCAGCGCGTGCGCTTCTCACACTGCGTTAAGTTCTTCTGTAGGTGCAAATTTCGCCTCTGTGTTAGTTGTGCCGCCACATCATGCAACTGCACTGCAATTTTCAGGAGCTCTCGTGCATGCATCGGAAATCTCAGAGACAGAAGACACAGAGCAGACCTCGCCAGCCAGCCAGCAGTCACCAATCCCTCTTAATTCGAAGATCACGGTAGTGTACTGCACACCCGAGCCTGGAGGAAGAGAGATTGGAGGTGGAAAGAGCTGCGCAAAGAGCCAGCGAAAGGCACTCGGAAGTTCCGAAGCACAGGGAAAACGCAGGGTTTCAATGACAGCCATGGCGGATGAGACGTGGCGCCGTGGAGAGGCAGGAGTTTGAATGTTTTTGTGCAAGCCAGAGGTCTGAATGATCGTCAAATGTATCCCATAGTGCTATAGTATCCCCGTATAGTCCCTGGACAAGTCTGTGATATGCCCCAAAGCACAGCTTGAAGTATTGCAGCCTCTGTAGTAAGCATTCAGGGTCCAGTAGGCAGAGGGCCGGAAAGAACCTTTGGCCTTTGGGGAGGCTCTCTGGCACGAGCATCGCAGCGCCTGGAGGTGAGCCCGGCGTCTTAAGGGCTGCCTGTGAGCTTCAATTCTTGTGGACCTGGGGCAGGGATTCAGGGGGTTCGGGGTTGAACGGATGTGGTGTCAAGTCAAGACCACCATAGACCACCTATACAGCATCAGGTGCAACTCTTTCCCTTGCTGTAAGCGCTTCTGCAGAACCACAGCTTCCGCACGGTTCTTCTCATTCTTCCCTGCGGCAAGCATCCTACGGGCATGGACACCTTTCTACGGAAACACCCTTCTGGAAGCTTTTGTAGAGTGGCCTGCCTTGCCAGGAGGCTCGCTGAGGACCGGGGTTAAGGGGTCGCAGTTGAAACTGACTGTGCCAAAAATTCGAGCTCCCTGTCTGCGTTTAGGGCTTAGGGTGGGCATGTGGGTTTTACAAGCGCATGGTTTTTGAGCAGAGGCCATTTGCAGTGGGATGGCCTTCCTAACTCACAATCCTCAACTTCGATATCCCAGCCTCGGCAAGGGATTTCAGATGTTTAGGCTTGGGTTTAGCGATGCGGTATACGTGTCTAGTCCAATCGAAACTCGCAAAAGCCTCAGACCCCTCAAGCCTCAATCTCAAGTCCCATGTCTAAAACCCTGCATGGACCCTTCAATTTCAAGTTCTAAAACCCTAAACCCGTAAACTCCCTACATCCTGAGCCCTGGACTCCTCAGCCGACCCTGAATCCACAGGAGAAAGCAGGTCGCTGTTTGGCACCGGCCGACGTGACGCCCTCCCTGCCACTGGAAGGTCCTTAGAGTTCAACGGGTTGTGCATGCCCGAAAAGCTGCCAAAGAAGTCCGTGGAATCGACCCTACACCCTGCACGCCTCAATGGGGTGCACGGCAGCTGATAGACTCAATGAGGATCGGGCTCGGAGGCAGTAGACGTAGAGCACAGAAGGCACGGAATGAGCGGTGCGAATGCGGCTCTTTTTCTACACTGGCAACCCCTGCCTGTGATCCAAAGCTTCGCAGACCATCCTGCGTCGAGAAGCACACAAGTGATTCAATCACTTGCATGCCCCCCACTCCCCTGGGTTTCAGGAGTCTCATTAACATTATCTGGCACTTGAGTCTGGTCAAAAGGCTGAAGTCCCTCTTGACGTCGTCGTCTTGCTGAGCGCATACCTGGGTCCTCCACTATCCGCCACATGAAGCGCATCTTGTAGTAGAGCTCGAGTTCCTTTCCGCCCTTTTTGGTAAGAGCGTTGGCTAACTGAGCTTCTGAATGCACCCATCTCACTTTCAGATTAGTGGACATCTGGGACTCCTTGACGCTGAGCAGTTCCAGATTTGCCTTCTTCTCTGCGCCCTGCACCGTTAGCACCTCGGTACTCAACTTGTCGTAGACGTTCCGAGAGTCCGTGATCAAACAGCCGTCCACCAGCTTCACGGTCTCAGAGGGTGCTTGCAGATTGACCTTGCCAAACTGCATCTCGGCCCATTGGTACCGCATGTAAAATAGCGAGTCTTCGCCATTCACTGCTGCTTGGGTTTCTGCTGAGCCCGGGCTGCGGCAACTGCGATCAATCTTTGTTGAGCTCCATGACATGGGGCTCACTGCACACACTGCTCCTTGAAGAAGCTGCTTCGACGAGGCCCCTATGAAGACACCCTGGGTACTTCCTTCGCGGGCCCTGTTCTTGTTCGCAGCATCAACCCAGGCATAAAACTGCATGTCTTCATCCTTATGCCTGAAAATCTGCAAGACATGGTTCTTTCGCTCTTTAGCATGCTGGAGAAGAAGATTCGCCTCAATGATCGTCTCTACTCGTGATTCACACACAGCAGACAACATCATGCTCACCTCTGCTGCAAGATGCGGTCCTGTCTGCTGGGCAAACCAGCTGAGTCCTCCAAGCAAGGCCCTGAGTTGGGTCTTCTCCCACTCTGTCGTCTCGGCCTTTCGGTCCTTACGCCGTGTGGCGTTGATGTGTATCTCCTCGAGGTTCGAGAGGTAGTGAGGTTGGGAGAGGGTAAAACCGTCACTGGTAGTTTCAATTTGCACACCACATTGAACGAATTTGTCCTGGTCCCAATCTCCCCATCTAAACTTCTCTTTAATCAAACGAATAATCTTCTGCCAACCCTGATCCTCCTCAGAGCCCCCAAACAGGAAATCGTCCACATGACCCGTCACCATCCCCCTTAATTGACCCTGTGGTCTCCACACCCAGGCGCACGCATCACTCCACAACCTCGTAAGGCCAATGGACTCCAGAAACTCAGCTATCGTCCGATACCACTCCAAAGGCGCGCGTCAACCAGACCGTAGCATGCCCTTTTTAAGCGCGTGACCGTGCCTGGTGGTAGGTTCATGCTTTCCAGGATTTCATCACATGGAATACAGAACAACTCACTAGGGTACTCTCTTCCTTGAAGAAATGCTCCAGTGATGTCCCCTTTTTGGATTCGCCAATGACGGTTGGCGGCTGCCTGTAGGAACAACTGTCGGGTCTGCCTCGACATAACCGGTGAGGTAGTGGATCTAAATTCGTAGTTCGGGTCCTGGTAGCCAAGCAATATGGCCCTGGCCTTCGGACGTACACTCCCATCGTCCTGAGTTTTCCAAGTAAGTAGCCACCTCATACCAATCGCCTGATCTTTTGATGGCTTCAAGTGATCTGGGAGTGCCTCGAAGGCCTGTGCCGCAATAAAGTTGCGCACCTCTTTGGCTTTCGCCTCCTGGAACTTTACGCGGTCCTCAGCAGTTAGTCGCTTTTCGCTTACCTCAACGGCTCGCCTTCGCAATGCTCCCACAAAGTAGGCTTGAGGATTATTCAGAAACTTCTCCCAGCCACGATTGCTCTGGGGAACCTCAATCTCAATAGCCACTGCCGCCTCTTCCTGGGCCCAATAGCAACTTTCCTCTGCCGCCCAAGCGCTCTCGGCCACTGATGCCTGCCACTTCTCTCCAGAGAGTCCAGCATGGCGGGGTCCCGGAAGTTGTCCGACTCGTCGAATGTTGCTTGGCTGGCTGGGTTCTCCTGCGTCGGGGTCCTCGAGGTCCAGGTCTTCATCTGGTATCGGCGCGGCCCGCTTGCCGCGAATCCTGGTCCTGGGTGGCGACACCTCTTCTTGAACATCTTGAGCTCGCTGCCACTCTTGTTCGGATGGTACTTCGGCACTGATATCTTCATACTGGCTACCACCTATCTCTTCAGCGAGCCTCGTGTAGGTCCAGGGTGTCTGGTCACTAGTGGCCAGGGACTCTACCAATTCCTCCCTTTGGCTGGCAGGTCTCAGCTGTTCGGGGCTACACTTCATGAGGTGCCATCCACGCACTACCCACACGGAGTGAGCTGGGCGTGGCTCATCGTCAGCAGATCGTCTGGTTTCCATGGCCAATATGCGCGCCGGCCCCAAAAACCGGCCTTGCGTTGTGTTGGGACTGCGTTTCCCGCGTCCCGACTCTTGGGTGCGCCAAAAGTAGACAAGATCCCCCGGATGGTACAGGTGGCTCGGTCTCGTTCTCGAGTTCACTGCCCGAGTCACTCGCTGCTGTGCTTGCCACTCCACTAGTGCCTTTTCCGCTGAAGCCCGTAGCTCTGCCTCCTTCCGAAAATCTTGTAGAGGCTGATTCAGAATCACATCGGGAGGCTGCGGTCTTTCGGGGTGGAGGTGTCGTCCCGTCTCGTCTGGAGCGCTACCCAGAACATGCTGGACCGGTGAGAATCCCCTCACCAGTTCTCGTTGATTGAACGTGCTAATGGCCAAACTCATGACTTGTTCCGCAGACAAGCTTGGGTCTTCCGCACTGAGCTTCGTCATAACAGTTTTCAACCCTTGAATCGCGTTTTCCACGGTTCCAATCTGCCAATGTGCTTCCCCGGGTATGATATCCAAATATATTTCATTGCGATCACAGAAGTCCTCTACGCTTGCCGAGCGGAAACTGCCTGCCGGATCGAGCCTCAAAGCTCGGGGTTTCCCGAAGATCTGGATCCAGCCTTCAGACAGAAAGTTGAGACACGTGGCGGCGTTGGGGGTTTGTTTGTTGCCCTTGGTAAGGATTTTCGCCACTCTAAATCGTGACCCTTCGTCAACCACGATCATGAAATTCTGGGTTTCCCCGCTATGGGGGCAGTTCCAATGGCCAATGTCGGCCGTGATGGTGTGAAATTTGGGAGGCAATGGTTCAAGGGACGCCAGCTGTCTTGGTTGGGCTTTCTTTCGTTCGTGACAGATGGGACACTGAAACTCTTCGGCTAATCTAAGAACTAAGGGGTCCACGTGACGACGCTTGAGGGCCTCGACTAAGTTCTTCGTGCTTCCATGTCCCGTAGCCGCATGAAGGAGATACAACTTACGCTTGATTTCCTCCTCAACCTTGCTTCCCTTCTTAGCCTCCTTCCGAAACACCGCACTAACCTCAGCACTTTGTTCCCTCTCTTGCCACTGGAACCCACGAGCCTTCAACCACTGAATCTCCTCAACACTCAAATGAAGAACCCCTCTGCTGGTGTAACCCCCAACGGTCACTCTATGGCCGTGCCATGGCTGCGTGGCATGCCACTTCCGGGCATCGAAAGTCACAACCTGGTGTCGGGTCCGTCGTAGGTGTCCTGACTTGTACTCACCTGTGGGTAATTGGAGATTGCAGGAAGGATGGTTGGGATTAGTGCTGGGGCCTTCAAGCCACATTTCTCCATGTTGGTAAGGAGTCACGCCAATCAGATGGTTCAGGGTATTGGGGAGGTTGTTGACATCCCCTTGCACTTGCATTTGACAATTGTCGTTCACGATGACACTGCTACACTGAATGGTGTCCTGGGACCAGTGCTGCAAATACTGAAGGATGTACTGACACGTCTGGGTGGTTTCCGTACGCATAAACACCTAGGACAAGGTACCTCGGCTTAGCTTGACTATGGGCTTGCCTGGGTCGAGGGTGTTCCTGAAAGGGCAGTTGTTTCAGGAGTTCTTCGCACTTCTTGTGGCTGTAGTTATGGGCCTTTAACAACTCTTGGGCCTGGGCCTCAACGTGGCTAACCCTCTCCTGAGACACCATAACCTCAGCTTCCTTTTCCAACACGCACCCTTCTGAAGTAACCTCCGGTTCCCTTGCACCTCGGTCGATAACCACCTGGGCCTGCCCTGAAACCTTTTCCGAAACCCTTTGTTCGCTCACCCCTTGAAGATCCCGACGGCCCAGAAGACAATTTGCACACGTTCGAGGATTCCCGGGCATGCTCACTTCTCCACACGTACAAAACTCACCCCCTCCGAAGGCTTGACACAAGTAGCTCGAACCCTGACATTCCTGGAGTGTTTCCACGTGGCCCATTTCTTGAGTCAGAACCCTGGCTATTCTATGGGTCAATTCGGACGTGTACCCATGAGCACCATTCCTAAAGGATCCCGTGCACTTGCCATGAAGGTAGGACCGGGGACATCTACATGGGGCCTCAAGGTCTTCAGCGAGCCTTTTATGAGTCGTCAGAATTCGCCATCCCCGTTGAACCAACCTCTTCGTAGTCGGATCCCTCAAATTGAACGCGCAACCGCTAGCCACCGCCCTATACAACCCGTACTTCTGCTGAAGATTGTTCAGCAAAGGAAGCCTCCAAGCATCAGAGCGGTCTGCCAATTCAAAGGTCACATGGATGCCCTTCTGCACAGCACTGTGTATCACGCATGCGCATCCTACAAAGACCCCCGTGGCATGCCTACGCTTCTCCTTCAAGTTTTCCGCCTGTTCCTTATTGGCTTGATTCGGGCCCTGCATGGGGGAGAAGGGTCCACCAGCCAAATGTGTTGTGGCTGCTCAGCTGCAATGCGGCTCAACACAAGTCGCACACCCTCATCGGTCGACAGATCACATCCATTGTTCAGGTAGCACTGGGTCACTGCGTCCTCTCTTTTTGCCACAGACTGAACAGTGCTGGCCAGTAGATTGTCGGCTTCACACGCACACTCCATGAGGCACGGTCTCTGAAAGCCTACAAGGGACTGGAAAAGGTCGGGAACTACAGACCAGGCTTGCCTCTCCAAGGCTCGCGCTTGGCCTGGGGATAGCTGCCTCGTGCTCTGGCTTTTCAGTTGAGCACTCAGCCGCTGAGAAGCACTCATACAAGCTCCTTATCAGAGCTCTCTACAATTCGTTCATCGCCTCGCTCAGTACACTGAACGACCCGTCGGTGAGGTGGCCCTCCTCGTTCTTCCCCGCGGTCTTGTGCGGTCGCTGGCCCTTCACCTCGGCAAGCTCCTGGCGCATTGACTCCATCGCTTCGGCCATTTCCTGCATCATCTTCACCGCCTGTGCGCTGGTAGGGTCGGTGCTGGCTCGGCTCGTCCCGGTGCGACCTGACACATGGCTTGAGGTGCTCGGGGTCTGCATCTTCATGGAGCCCTGCTCCTTGCGCGTGACTGGTGGGGCCTTTGGAGTGGGCTTCCGGTCCATCTCCAATAGCCACTTGGCCAGCCGTGCCAATCTGGGATCCACATGGTCCTCGCCGCTCTCCTGGAACGTAGTTTTCACCCAAGCTGCATAGTCCTGGTACTGCGTGGCAATGGCAACGTAGCGCTCGTTGGCATGCTTGCCGAAGCCGGCCAGGTCGTTGGCCTCGGCCGGGCACACCCGGCGGATCTCCTTGGTCGCCTTGTCGATCATCTTCGCCATCACCTCGTTCCCCGTCAGCTCGAGCTTGAGCGCCTCGGTGCAGTACTTGGTCAAGTTCGCCTTGAGCTTGCTGGCTCGGCGTAAGTCCTTGAGCATCTTTTCCATGGTGGAGTTGGGGCTCGCCTCCTCGGTCTCCAAAAGGCCTTGCTCTCGGAGTTCTCGGAGTCGTTGGTTCAACTCTACCATTGTCCAGCTTTGTGGCGGCGTCTCGCCGTGGTTCAGCAGCTCCATGCGCAGGTCCTCCTTGGTGGCCTTCGGCATGTTGCGCTTGGTGATGTTGAGGGCGAGGATAGCTACCGCCTTCTTGCTGGAGCTCACAATCAGCTGCGAAAGTCACTGATCGCGGTCGTCTGGTCTGAGACTCCTGGTCTTGCCCTGGTGCTTCAGACTCAAGTGCAGATTGTACACTAGCATCACTACCATGAATTCCTATACAATCACTCCTGAAACCCATCTCGCTATCAGCTCTAGAGGTTTGCAGAGTGGTTTTCACCCCGGTTTCCGCTGATTCGGTGACCTTCACTGCTTGCACGGAATCACAAGCAGGAAGGAGCTGTCCCTACACGTTCAGGTAGCTCTTCAAGCTGGGCACTTCGCAGGTCGTGGCCACGCCTTTAGCGAGCCAGTCCTCTGTCATGGGTATCAGTTGGTGCCCTGTCTGAGAGCGCTCCACTTGCACAAGTTTCGTATTGTCCAGAGCCCTAAAGCATACCAAATCTGACTCAAAATCTATAACAGCCTTCAACTTGCGCAACGTGTCTATTGACAGCAACATCGGCCCCGTGCCTCGGTCGAGGCAGTGGACCTTGACTTCTCCAGGCTTCTTGTCTGCACAGATCCGAAGCTGTACAGTTGAACTGCACCTATCCTCAGACCCATTACCAAACCCAAAAACCGGCCTCTCAGTGGTGTCCACTGAGATCAGCCCTGAATGACCACTCTTGAGGTTGTTCAGCTGCATGATCCGCTCCATGGCATTGATAGAAGCCAGAGTTTTCGTGGCTCCGCCGTCGATCACGGCCTTTCCTTGGGAGACCGCGTCCGCCGTGGAGATGCCGCTCATCATTGCTTGCATGTCGTTGGTGTTGTCCTCGGCGCTCTGCTCCACGGTGAGGGCTTGGGGCTGATCACAGAAGCAAACAAAGGAAGACGTAGCAGCCACTGGTTCGGCACTTTTTGCTGCAGCCGTCGGTGGATCAGGGCAGTTCGCGACGCGGTGGCCTGTCCGGCCGCATCGCAAACACGTCATCTTCTCATCTCGGCTTTTGCCTCCATCTCGGTGCCCTGCGCCAGAGTTGGTGCGAAAGTACTGCCTCGCCAGTCGCACATTGTTCTGCCTTTGTCTCACTTCCTTCAGCGTCCGCCTGCCCTGAGTGATCGCGGCCAGGGCGGATTGAGCATCTTCTTCCGCTTCCTGCCATTCCTCCTGGTGCTCGGCCTCCATGATCGGGTCGACCTCCACGGTCTGCGTCTCGTCCTCGTCCGGCTCCTCGTCGTAGAGCTCGCCCATGTAGCCCGAGTTCTTCGGATGATATTCTCGACGCTGTCCATCGAGAACCGCACACTGGTTCCGAAGCTCTTGGGCCACCCGATCGTAGCGGAAGTCGCCTTGGAGAGCCGTTTGAACACTGTTCTTCTCCTGGGCCGTCAAGCCCGAATCATGGAGTAGGTACCACCCCTGGACGTAGTTCGGGAGGAGCTCGGGCATCGCTGGGGCCTCCTCCGCGGGCTCCTTGTTCCAAGTCCAGTGGTGGTTCCACGGACTACCCCACCAAGAGTAGCCCCACTCCTGGTGTCCGTAGTTCACTGGCCGCGCTGCCAATAGCTCCATGGTCGGTCCTCGGTGGAGGCGGTCGTCGCCTCTGTCGCCGGTGCCTCGTCCTGGTCCTCGGTCGCCTCCTCGACAGGCGTGTAGTCGTAGCTGCTGCGCCTGCTGGAGTTCCACGATGGTGCCCAGGAGGAAGAAGTCCTGCCTTTAGCCTTGTTGGTCTCGCCGGGCTGGAATGGGCTGACGCGTTGCAACGCCTGGCAAGCCCTCAAGTAGATCTCGCTCTTTCGAGCGATGTAGCTGTTGATATCTTCATTATTGCGTCTTCTTGATCCCTTGAAGTACTTGCTCAGGTAGTCGGTCAAGTCGGAGATCTGGGGCCGGCCGAGTGCGGCCCTCAAGTGCTGCATCAAGGTATGCCCGCCTTGGTTGTTCGAAAGCCAGCTGGGGGGCTTCCCAGCCACATGCTTCTTGGCAGCACCTTTGAGTGCCGCGGCCAGTTTTGGCCCGCAAAGATACCTCTTCTCGTACGCTACCGACTGCTCCCAGAGTAAGCTGCTCTCCTCATACTCCTGAAAGCTGCCAGCGTCACCATCCCAACTCGGTGGCCCCTCATGAGCCTTGCTGCCTTCCCCACTGGAGGTCATGTTCTCAGCTGAAGGCCCAAACGTTCAGCTGTCGTAGGTCCCTGGATCTTCACAAGTTCGGAAGCCTCTATGGAGGCTCCGCTACCATGCACGCCTCAATGGGGTGCACGGCAGCTGATAGACTCAATGAGGATCGGGCTCGGAGGCAGTAGACGTAGAGCACAGAAGGCACGGAATGAGCGGTGCGAATGCGGCTCTTTTTCTACACTGGCAACCCCTGCCTGTGATCCAAAGCTTCGCAGACCATCCTGCGTCGAGAAGCACACAAGTGATTCAATCACTTGCACACCCTAAACCCTAAACCCTGAACCCTAAACCCTGAACCCGAAACCCTAAACCGTGAATATCAAGCCTCAAGAAGCTTACAGTAAGCCGAGGATCCCCGAAGCCCTGAGGCCCAAGCATATGAGCATTCGGAAGTAGAACGAACACATGGATAAACAAGTAAAGACGCATATGAATAGTTGAAAAACAAGGAAGAAGAGAGACACATATGTGACTTCTGAAGAAGGTAGATGAGTAAAGTCGCAAATCCCTGGATGAATAAATCAAGAACGGGATAAATGAGCAAGTGAACAGGCACACAGTTATGCATGCATATAGGTATGTATATATACATATATATATATGAGTACATACACACCCTCATCAAATGTATATACCAGAAAGCCACAGAAGACTAATTCCATGCACCACTCAATCAATAAATAGGGAAAGCGAATAATGACACCGAGCAAGCAGAAAGGCAAACCCATAAGTCGATCCACAGATATGGGTGGTTGTCAAAATGATGGTCCCTTTTGGGTACCCTAAATATTAGGTGCCGTGCTATATAAGGGACCCAAAAAGGAGCCATAGTTTTGACAACAACCCATATGTACATAACTATGTAGATAATTAGACAAATGAGTCTCTAATGCACGCAGATACGCACATGAACAACTGCATGTGTTTTCTGTACAGGCGCATAGTCAATAACAGCCAGTAGAACAGTAGAGCCAAAAGCATCTTTGCATCCATGTAAATGAAAAAGACAGAAAGCAGACAAACACAGAAATGGATCACGAGACACATAAATAACCACATCTCAACGTATGTATGTATGTGTACTTATATAGATGTTTCAAGCTTTGAATACTAAAAGCGTTTATTCGTATCTCAAAAGCTGCTACTCGTGACAGATCGGAAGAACGAGCTCCTGTCTCCTTCGCAGACCGAACTCAGTGAGGCAAGGTCGTTTCAACAATGTATTGAGCTAATATCCACGGGAGGGTTTAGGGTTAACGGGCTGTAGTATTGTATTGCCATCGCCATGGTGTTTTTGCGGTTCTTCCATGCTAACCTTGTTCGTGCTTGCCACGCGTGCTGTTCTTCCAACAGTCTCCTTATTGTCCTTTGTGGCTAGTCTGGATGCAATGTTTGCTAGCGGATTGTTGTTAGCGCTGTAGTCCGGACCATGGAGATGCTATACGAATCACCACTAGCCACTAGCATCAGCATGCTGTAAACCGAGGACCCGTCGAGAGCCATAACTCGAAGCTCCATTGGCCACTCAGGCAGATCGGCTGAATTTGAGGAGTTGTCTGGCTGCCACCGCCGGGCCCTATCCGCCACTGAGGTGGGCGATAAAGCCATGCTCCCAGCACGATTGTAGATAACATAGCATATTGGTGCCTCATGGTCTGGCCCCTAAACCCTAAACCGGGCCGATCCCAAAAGCATTATTCTCTCGATAGTTGCCACTGCAGCATGTATGGCAGACAGTTTCTGTCAGATAAGTAACACTGCGTGGGCCCTTGGTTTAGCAGTTTTGCATTGATGTCGCCAGGAGGCGATTTCCGCTCAAACTCGCCATACAGGCACGGTGTTGACAGCTGCTTCTTCTGATGTTCGTCTCCGAGGGAACGCACTAATCCCAGTACCAGAAACAGCTGCAGCAATGACTCAAACAACCACAACACACATAGCCATTTATTTTCGTGATCTGGAAGATGAAAGGCACGCCATGTCAGCGCAACCTGCTGTGCCCACTTCCCTAAACCCTAAACCCACTTCTCTGCAAGGTGGCTGTTCAGCTTTGGGAAGTCGAGAGCCCATTGCTCTCCGAGCAGGCAGAGTCGTGCACAGCCTGCAAAATTCACAAGAAGTTAGATCGGGCAGGTATTAAAATATGTTCTGGTATAATCATAACAGTATATCATGCTACATGATGACATAACAGAGTCCATTATAGTAGCGTGTGGTATGGTATAGTATATTATGCACTGCTACTGTTGCTTTTTGTGGGGCCGGGGAGCGCCCCAACCCCCCCTCCCCACCCCCCCCGTCAGCCCTGAGCATGCTGGCGCTAGAGTTGCTGGCATGAGCCATATGAGAGTTTCCAGAAAATAGGGGGAGCCTAATATAGTACCCTGAATAGCAGGATCGGACCCCAAAATAAGGTACCCCTAATTGTCGGAAACTCCCATACCTATCGCGGCCATGTACCCAGATCGCTGTTCGTGCCGATCATGCAGCAAGGATAGAAATTGCATACGAGATGTCTCATCGCTGCTACTTGCTGCAGGGGAGTCCTGTGACGCGATTGGCAAATGCCGCGCGGGAGAGCACGCAGGCCTGGGATTCAAATGTGCGATGACATTTCTGTCACTATTATTTGTGTGACTGGCATTGGTATCAACTAGCAGGGCCTCTTAAGAAGCAGCGGGCTCTGTGTCTATGGTTCAGGTCAGGTGCAAGGGTTGCAGCCCGTCACTGTCCACCCGGACCTGAAAGTCCCTGAAAGGGCCTTCCACAAAATGTACAAATCTCTAACCCTGAACCCTGAACCCCTCACACAAGCCTAAGCCGATGAAACACACGAGGATGTTCCGAGTTTAGCGTAATTTTCCACTTACAGCCTTCTTCACGAGGTGGTCAGCCAGGGACATGTTTGGCCCACAGCTTTGGAACTCTAAGCGAGCACAAGGCTTGAGAAGGCACGTAGCGCTCAGTATCAAAAAGCAAGCACAGGAGGACAAGGAGCCAGAACTCTAGACCCTAATCTCTAATGCCCTAAAGCCCTAAACCCTAAATCACTACCAGGACTCTATAATATACTATAAGTATAGTATAATAAATCTCGAATGCCCTAAAGCCCTAAACCCCTAAAAATCCCACCAGGACTTGGTCGTCAAGACGGCCGCCCTCGGAGCCTCGATGGTCCACTGGGGTCAGTCGATGCTGGGCTCGGCTGCGAAGGCCCAATGCCGTGTCCAAAAAAGAAGCCGAAGCTCAGACACATCTTCGGGTTTCGGGGTTTTAGGGGTTTAGGGTTTTGGGGGTTTTGTTCAAGGGTTTAGGGGTTTCAGGGTTTTAGGGGTTTTAGGGTTTAGGGGCTTAGGGAATTAGGGGTTGGAATGAAGCTTCAGACGTTGGCGTGCAAAAAGCATCACGGGTCTCAGAAACAGATGGGTGGATATCAAAATTAGGGTTCCCGTTTGGGTACCCTAAATATTATGTAGGTGCCGTATTACAATACGGACCCACAAAGGGACCCTATATGGCGAAGGTTCAGGATTTGTATCAGATGTAGGGTCTATATATTTGGGGTACCCCAAAAGGGACCCTAACATTGACAACCACCCAGATGGTGCCCTTCTCTGTCGTGCGAGTCGTCGATGCATTCGGAGCTTCCGCTCGGCTTAAGCCCAAGGATTCCTAGGATGGACCCTAAACCCTCAACCCTAAACCCTAAACCCTAAAACCCTAAACCGTATGGTTTTCGCCACATAAGTCATCATCGTCCTCTTCGTCTTACCGCTACAGTGTCGTCGTCGTCATGAGCCCTGCAGCCTCGAGGCTTCACGACACCACTTGATGTCAAAATCTACTAGCACAGTCCATCAGGACAATACTGGTAGAGATTACAGACCATACTACCAGACCTGAGAACTGGGACCACCGTAACTTCGTCGGGTCGAAGGAGATAGCGGTAGTGGCAGGATCCCTCTGAGCACGAGATTGGTAGCAACTGGGTGGTAGGGTTTTTGCACGGAAACACAGTCCTCATGCTGCTCACCGGGATACAGCCACTTTGCGACAACCGTCAGGCTTTGGACTCGCACTGCCGGCCGCGGTCCTTGCAAGATCCAAAAAAGGAGAAGGACGGACATGGGCCACGCACATATTTGCCAGCGTCTGTGTCGCCCATTGTCAAGAGTTTGTTTGATCACTGCACAGTTTGCGAACTGCTTGTCATCGTCCTAAGTGGAGGCAGTTGCCACTATCGGCCGCCGCTACAGTTCCGTCATT